TTAACGCGCTTAAAAATAATAGGCTGTAAAGTTGTGTTTGTTTGAAAAGAGATTTAAATAATCTCCGATATGTTCATATTTAAATAGTAGTAAATATGTCTCTGTTTAACTAGCATATCCTTTTCAAATAGAGAAGTTGTTTTTAATCTTCATAAGGGCTAGTGCTATTTTCTTACCACAGCACTCAAAATTAAGTGAATGGTATGCTGCGTTAAATTTGGATTACTGACTTATTAAACATGGTAGCACACAGTCTACTGCATAAACTGAGATGTCACAGAGGTTCCATCAATGAACATTGGATTGTGCAAAAGTTTCTGACCGAGCTCTACACTCCCCAGGACTGACAATTACCATATCTTGAATCTTTGTAATTTTTCCTCCTTCCAAAATCATATGTCACATGAAAGGAAGAAAACTTCAATACAAGCATATTCGATGATATACATTAATAAGACACGAGTGATGCATTGTTGGTTGATATTGTTAACCATTTCCGAATGGTGCAAATGTTACTTATAAAGAGACTCCACATTTTAAGAAAAATATTTTTGAAGAGGATATTTCTATGCAGCCAAATTATAGATTCGTTAAATTTTAACATGGATAAGTTCTATAGACGGCAATATATATGTTAGATTAAAGGGATTTTTAAAAATTAATAACAAAAAATCTTAAGTTACCTCCTGTTCAAGTCAGATATATTGATAGAGGACTAGTTACGAAGACACGCCCACTCGTAAAAATAGGGAACTTTTTTGAAGGGGTGAGTTGTAAATATTGTTTTTAAATTAGCAAACATTAGACTTTTTTTTTCAAGGCGCAGGATTTGTCAAATTTATCTCTCAATCCATGCCGTGTACGAGATTCACGTAATTTGTTTTTTTCAATATCACGTTGATATTCCATATTTTAGAAATTAACTATTACATTCCTGGTCAAATGGGGGAAAACATAGATAGATAGATAGATAGATAGATAGATAGATAGATAGATAGATAGACTTTTTTTATTCTGTAACACAAAGAATTGTGACAGAAGTCCGGGAGAAAGAAGTGGGGGCTGGTCTTCATTAACTATCCTAGTCAATCAGATTCGCGACCCATTCATTCATTACAATTTGCGCCATTACCTCTCGATCCTGCATTCACGAAAATACCGCATATTCACAGGACGACCTACAAAACAATACATGAGATAAAAAATCTGACGAGAGTCCAGAAATGTCCTCTCTTTTTTTCTTGATTTTTTTAACAAAAATATATAAAAAATTCCACGATTCTTGAAATGATGGCGGGGGGGGAGGGGGAAACAAACTAAAAAGTTACACTAAGAATAAATCGAAACAAATGTTAGTAAGAACCATCTACACCCCAAAATAACAAGAGAGGCCGCTGTATTCTGCCTCTAGACAGAATCAAGGAGCACAGCCGCTAATGAAATAGTCAGGTTAAAAATAACAGACGGAATGGGAAAAATTCGAATCTTGAACCAGCTGAGATGAAAACAGGGGACAAAAACGAACTGGTGAGATATGGAATCTTGACATGGGTCATAACAAAAGATAAAGCGAGGAACAGGCCAGGAACAACACTTATTCACATTAACTAAGAAAAGAAAATAGTGTCTAATTTAACCAGAGAAGTGTTGAAAGGAAACATCCCCGTTGCACTTAAGTGGACAATAAATGAGAAAATCAAGGCTCGTCCCGGCCCCAACAAACCAGGCTCGCCTCAATTACCCACCTTTCGCTGAAACCTGTCGAAGTCAAACCCTTTCGATCCGATCTGATTTTTACACTAAGCTGAAGCTTAAATAAAAGGACCAGATCCTGGTGAGAATAACGTTCATCCCGCAAGATTCCCTCCATTCGCGTCGTCCACACCACTATTCTTGCCATGGCTAGCAACGTAAAAACAACATCAGGTGCGATCAGAGCCGTCAACGCACCGAAATGCTCCCAGAAATGGCGCGCCTGAGGACAATGGTGGAATGCGTGCGAAGCCGTTTCCGCCTTTGTCAAGGTCACACCTATGACAGTTTAGCAAATCTGCCTCACACCATCTGAAGAACAAGTCTTTGAGAGGTCACACATTCCGAACCAATCGCCAGCTAAGCGAAAACTCAGGGTTGCTAAGATAATCCGCTGTTGGTGACAAAGACAAAAAAGAGCGCAACTCTTATGCCGATAAGCCGACCCGGTCACACACACGATCCTTCCTGACCCCCTCCACTAATTCAGGATACAATAGTCTCCGATGCAAAGAAAGGTCACTGGGCCAAGGAATAACCTTCAAGGCCGACCGATACACGAATAGATAGATATTAGATAGATAGATAGATAGATAGATAGATAGATAGATAGATGGATAGATTGGAACAGAATTAGATGCATATATAGATACTCTCAAATCTGTACCCTGTCTGTACAAATTGTGAATCTCAAAATATATATATATATATATATATATATATATATATATATATATATATATATATATATATATATATATATATATATATATAAATTTTACACATATATATATTATAGATACTTATCCTCTCTCTCTCTCTCTCTCTCTATATATATATATATATATATATATATATATATATATATATATATATATATATATATATACAGAAAATATATACACCATTTACTTTTAAATATTTACATATTTTTCCGCATATATATATATATATATATATATATATATATATATATGTGTGTGTGTGTGTGTATGCTAGAACCTTCATACACAATAACACGCATGCATACATAAATTTATATAAATATATATGTATATATGTGTGTATGTACGTGTATGGATACGCACTCACGATCTCTTTATCTTACGCACATATGCATATACGTATTTGTATACATACATACATACATATATATATATATATATATATATATATATATATATATATATATATATATATATATATATATATATATATATTCAAAGAGATTGTAATATGAGTAAATTTTTCATTATGAAAATAAATTGCACAAAAGGATTGATTTCTTTTATGATTCCAATCTTGGTGATTCTTATGCATAATAAAAGTATTACCTCAGCATATGCAGTTGGTGCTAAGAATAACTGACAAATTTGATTTATATAGACGTCTACATTAAACTGCAAATCAGTCTGAGATTCTGCTAATGCCAAGTAATAAAATCACCCGATCAAAATTATTCAAAGCCATAAAAATTTACAGAAGTAAAAATATCTAAACTATTCTTAACCTTTCCACAAATTTAAATTTTTTCAATGTCCAAATTACTATCACAGTAAAGTGGCGCATGCGCTTTATATTAACACTTTAGTACTTGTGTGCATTTTGCTTTCATTTTTGTTTATTTTTTGCATACATTTTATATCTTATCTCTCACAAAATGTGATCTTAAGTATATAGAAGAAAAAGCTATCAGCCTATATTAATAATTCGCACTGCGTTTTATGAGTTGAATGTTAGAGCATATTCAAGTGGCCATCGAATACATATACATTGCCTTATTCATTTGAATTCTGGACAAAAGTTTACATTTTATTAAATAAAGTGCATCATATATTTTCTAATGTTTCATTTGCTCGTCAGCAAAACTTCCGTTTCTTTCCAAATCAAATGTATTAGTAGAATCAAGAATAAATTTAATAGGTATAAGTCTATATTATAAGTTTCTAGCATCTCATTAGAAATATTTTTTCAATGACGTTTACAACGTTGGCTGTAAGACGATATGTTTTATTAAAAATTAATGTCAATATCGAATTATAATTATTGAGCAAAATTTTGGCTTTAAAAAACAAACGGACATCTCCCAGAAAGATAAGATATTTTGAAAAAAAAACTCATGGATTTCTACACAACTAAAATCAGTGTAAGATAACACAAAACAGAGCAAAGTATATGCAAAAAATAGAGATGTGACTGATATAAATGAATCAAGTGATATATTATATTGAAAATTAATGTGAGTATTTGGACACAACATTTGAGAAAAACATTGACCGTAAGAATGATACTTACGACTTATAGTAAAATACAGAAAACTAAAGGGATATATAAACAGTGTGAATCAAGGTTGGATAAATCAAGAGAAGACAAGTAATACATCAAATTCTTGATAAAAATGAAACATCTGAGACGTGTGTATAAAAAAATGTAACCAAGTATAGAAAAAAAGCCAGAGATGCAACAATAGAGTATATATATATATATATATATATATATATATATATATATATATATATATATATATATATATATATATATATATTGAAAATTCTTTTCAGAACTTCCAAAATCCTTATTGTTCACACACACAATGTTAACGGAAAACATGATAAATCAACAAGAATAAAATCTTTAATAATAATAATAATAATAATCCAATATGTGATTTAGAAAAAACAAATAAAGTACTGTGGCCATAAGAACATACCACTACCTGCCTTTGGTCTTCCCACAGAATTGTTAGGTTGTGTGACCATAGCAGAAATCGATAGATGATGATGATGATGATGAAGAAGAAGATGACGACGACAAACCCGGTAAAATAGTCATAATATTACCTATCAAAACATAATATCTTCAATTATAAATGATCAAAACTTAATATTAAATTCATTACAGCTACATCCAAAACAGTCAAGGGTATGAATAAATGAATAAAACAAAAAAAAGATCACAATAACAATTATGCTGAAGAAAGGATGGTCCTTACAATATACTGGCGAAAGTATAAAAAATTACTTACAAAAATCTATTAATTAACATTCCTAATTATTCTGACTATGTTGTCAAAACATCTACTATATTAGATGACATAAGCAAATTCCAGAAATTAGATAATACCTCGTTTGATGACAACGTGAAAACGGAAATTAAGTTAAAAATGGCTTCTTGAATTTCACTAAAGAACGTTTCTTTCTAAGCAGTGGTATGAAAGAATTCGTTTTGTGGATTTCCAGTGTCTTAGGATGCATGGTCTACCTAAAATTCATAAATCGATTATTCCTCTCGGACCCATTTTGTCCATGGTTTGTTCCTTCTAGCATGAATTGGCAAGGTGGGTTGTCGTAAATTCTTGATTCTGTTGTACATACAATGTGTGAAAACACGTGTGATACCAGCCACCTACCAGCCGCCAACTAGGGGAGATAACACAGTTTCGCTAGCTAATGTGATACTACGACCCCAGGCCGCACCAACAGCTGTTAACACCGGGTAGACTATACTTTATTCTGTACACGTGTTTGATCCTTGCGATTTTTTTGTAATTGTAAGTTGGATTTTAACGTTGAGATAAAAGCGTCTAATTTTGATCATTAAACAATACACAACGCGCTTGGAGCTACTGTTATCAATGACGTAGGATTGAATTCTTTACAGATGTGGTTCATATAGAAATCAGCGTTGTGTTGCGAGCATTAATTAAATTAAAATTGTACATTTTTTTCTTGACCAGATCTAACTCCCTGTCTCTTCAGCTGTGATCAGGAGGCGACATGAAGTACACTTCAGGCTCCGGGCAGTGATTCCCATCTTCTAATCGAAGTAAACGATTGACTGTACAAAGAATCCACGGTAACACACACACACACACACACACACGTGTGTGTGTGTGTGTGTGTGTGTGTGTGTGTGTGTGTGTGTCGATATATCAATATTTTGAAATAAACTAATAAAAATAAATGCGTTATATATAAGTATGTGACAATTGCGATGCGGACGCAAATATAAATATATGCAGATGCCTAAGGTAATTTCTGTATTCAATATAACTTTTAATTCGCCTATTACAGATATCTATGTTTTAAGATATAAACATAGATATCTGTAATGACTGAAATTTTGGTCAAATATCAAATGTAAATACTGGGATGTGGCATAAAATGTGCACAATGTTTAAATAATGACTTTCAAAGTAATCCACTCTCTCTTTCATGTACTCGCATATATATATATATATATATATATATATATATATATATATATATATATATATATATATATATATATATAGAGGTTTATCCTGTACAAGGTAAAGAATTATATTAACAGAGAGTGTATATGGGTTGGAGGGTAAAATAACAGTTAAATCTAGTCATGAACAGGTTAAAATTGTAGGGATAGGAGAAACATCCACTAGGATGCCGGTTCCCCAGAGCTGCGGTTCGCGGGAACTATCTTTTCGAGTGAAACGTATTACTCACCGATGGAATATGGAAGGAATGTAAGCGGTTTACAACAATGTAAGAGAAATGGCGCGCCTTAGCCGTAAAGATTGGAACTGTCGAAAACACGGAAAACAATTCGTTCGGAATTAGTGATAGAGCTGTGAGAGGGCTACATCATTCGCCTCTAAGAGGGAAGTTGGAGAATGGAAAATAATTTTCCACCCGGAAAGACTCAGAGAGCATTGAAAACAGAACTTCATGCCAAAAATTGCTATGTGACATGTAACTACATCTACTGACACCTTATATATATATATATATATATATATATATATATATATATATATATATATATATATATATATATATATATATATATATATACACTGCGTGCCAAATTATTATTGAGATAACTTTTTTTCTAATATTTCAAGAACCATCCAATCAATTCACACAAAATTTACACACAATGTTGGCAACCCTAACCTGCGCAATCACTAAAGTTTTCGTACTGATGTGTGCAATGTAAATAAACTAGCGCCATATTTGTTATCAGCACGGTGATTTGCACGTGCCAAATTATTAGAAGAGTGTAAGAATTTAGTGAAAAGATGGGCCGTAAAAGCAGTTTAAGTGATGCTGAAAAGAAAACTATCACCTCAGAACTCTCAAAAGGTAAATCTACCCTAGAAATTTCTAAAATGATAAGGAAGTGTCATCAAATAGTGAAAAAGTTCACTGCCGACCCTTCACAAGGAGGTGTCATCAAACAGTGAAAAAGTTCACTGCCGACCCTACTCAAGTACGCAAAAGGGTACATAAAGGTTATTTCATGTCGTCTCATGTCACGACTTAAACGAGAGGCCACGAAGAACCCTGGACTTACCAGTCTAAAGCTTTTCAGTTGCATTGGGGATCCTACTGTGTCTAAAATTACTCGGTGTCAGTATCTGAGGGAAATAGCAATAACAGTCAAACCTATATCGAAGCCTCCATTGACGAGAAATCACATTCAAAATCGATTGAAATGGGCCGAGGACTATATGAAGATTGACTTCTTTAAAGTTTTGTTCACAGATGGAAGCAACACTTGATGGGCCAAATAGATGGTGCAAAGGCTGGGTAATGAACGGACAGAATCGCCATCAGCGTTTGAGACGCCAACAATGCTGTGGAGTCATAATGATCTGGGGTGGTATTATTGGAAAAACATCAGTGGACCCATGGAGAGTACCAGATGGCGTCAAAATGACAGCTGATGCATACATAGCATACATACATGAAGGAGCATCTTGAACCGTGGATGAAAAGGCAAAGAGTTGCCTTCAGAAGGGCCAATGTTTTATGCAAGATAATTCTCCCTCACATGCTGCTCACAAGACTACTGAATATTTGAAACAGTTAGGCTTCGATGGACCTCGAAAAACGAAGTGGTCAGCAAATTCTTTGGATTTGAACCCAATCGAAAACATTTGGAGCATCATGAAGCGAATACTCTACGCCAATAGAAGACAGTTCAGGAGCAACGCATTACAGCAGATGACATCCTACAAATAACAGATTCTATGGATCGTCGACTTCTTCAAGTAATTTCAAAACAGCGAAAGCACATTCCCTATTAATTTGTTTAAAACTGTGACTTTGTTTGTATCTGTTATTATTTGTTTGATTATCTTATTTATTAGCGTCTTTTGATCATAAACATTCACGTGCAAAATTAATAAACGTTTTGTTTGCTCAATTCTGGGAATTTGACTAAACCATTCTAATAATTTTGCACGCTCAAATCCCCGTGCTGATAAAAAATATGTGCAGTTCAAAAATTTCCGTGATTGCTCAGGTCAGTGTTGCAAACATTTTGTGAAAAATTTTGTATGAATTGATTAGACGGTTTTTGAAATATTAGAAAAAAGTTATCTAGATAATAATTTGACACGCAGTGTGTATATATATATATATATATATATATATATATATATATATGTCTGTATATCTGTGTATATATGTATGTATTCATATTACAATGACACATTACATATATATATATATAATTACACACAAAAACGCGCTTACAGACAAACAGACACGCATATATATATATATATATATATATATATATATATATATATATATATATATATATATATATAATTGATACTGCACGTAGTACCGATAGTATGTTTTATATTGACCTCAATGCCAACTTTTTTTCTATGCATATGCATTCTTTGAGCACTTTTACTCATAAAAAACTTAAAACTATCTTTTTCGGATATATATATATATATATATATATATATATATATATATATATATATATATATATAGAGAGAGAGAGAGAGGGATAGAGAGATAAATAGATATAGAAAGTTAGAAATATATTTTCCATCATATATATATATATATATATATATATATATATATATATATATATACCAAGATCGTTGTCAGGAAAGGAAATATGTTTTAAGAGACCTTGATAAAAAAACAAAAAAAACTAGTCGACAGAAATATCTTTAATTTCATCTGTATGTTTACCAGAGGACCTAACACCTTTGGCATGGAAATATCCCGAACAAGGAAAGACATAAGAAAGAAAACAGCGAAAGGCAAACACCTACCTACACAGTAATGTAATGTGTTCAACGCCCAAATTAGCCACACATAGCAAAAAACGCTTCCCAATATCAACACTTAAGAAAGGACAACTGAAGTCGGTACTCCAGTTTCAAATTCTTGCGATCTTCACACGACTAGAAAGCATATCTATCTATCCATCTATCTATCTATCTATCTATCTACTTTTTTCTTCTCTAGTATAACAACAGGTAGTTGGGTAGATAGAGAAAGAAACACGATGAGAAGTATCACAGTTCATCAGTGTAGCTAGACACCCGGTTGCATCTAGCAAGGATCACACCCGACAAACCCGACTGAATTGCGTCAGTCGGGGATTCTACCACTAAGCCGTTGGCGCTCGGTGGGGATGAAAATGAATTTAACCTTTTTTTTTTTTTTTTTTTTTTAGAAAAACACACAGTGACTGAGAGAACTCGATTCGATTTACCGAAGAGTCATGCATTATTAGCCGTAATAATCTCTGTTTACAAACCCACACTTCCTCCACAGAGAGCTCAACCGAAATAATTCTTTTTAGGAGCATATATATTATTATCCACAGAGTGACTGTTTTGCTGTATCACAGGCCATCAGTGTGTCTAGACGTCCGGTTATATATATATATATATATATATATAAAGAAAGAACAGCAAGATATATAATCCCATGTTCTTATAGATATCTTTATTTTTACAAAATAATGCTCAATGTAAATTTACAGAGCATTAATATTATAAATTAATTGATTTAAAATATGTTCTTTTTCGCTACACAGTTCTAACCATGTTTCAAAAATGGAAGCTAAAAGTCACGAATTTAATTTTCTGATTAAATTAAAGACATTAGTTCCATTTCATCCTCAAGCGAATTTTGGAGAAACTTTTTAAAATTACTGGGTTTTAAAGACACAGCTAAAACAAAATTCATGTTTCCAAGGTTACAGATAAATCTATTTTTCTAGACAGGGGTGGCTGGGTTTTTAATATGTCTATAATTTAATGTATCAGTTATTGCTACGTTTGGGTCGTGGGAAGGGATGTATTTTTCAATGAAATCTAACTTCCGTTAAAATCGTGTCGTCTAGATTTTTTAAAATTATATTGTTAACGGCTAAAATTCTTACGGCATAGAAAACCCAGCCCCGTTCTTCTTCTTCTTCACATTCTTCTCCTCCATTTCTTTTACACCCAACGTCGTGCCTTTGCTTATTTATTTTTGAAAATACTAATATAGCATTTATTTGTTTTCTGAAAAAAAGAAAGAGTTAAGAGGTCATTTGATAAAAATCACCAATGGCTACCGCAACATTGAAAACAAGGTAGCGGATTCAACTGACCTCCTAATTTTAAAATTTAAAAGCTCTATATATTATTTTAACTTATATTTTATTTTTTCACACGCGTCTCGAGCACTTTTTAGCACGACTGTTTCCTTGTCTGATTCAACTCTGACATGCAAGAGTCTTCGTTTAGAGGAATAACGTTCTCCGGTCAGTGGCGTGTTTGCCTAAACATAAACACGTCTAAATTTACCTCCATCTCTGTTGTGCGCTAATGACTTAGTGGGACGAACTTCGACTGATACTATATCAGTCGGCTTGAGGCAATCGGATGTCTATCCACACTGATGAGCTGAAAAATAGTCTGTCCGTGGATGACTATATATATATTGTGATAATTTATAGTTCGAATGTTATACAGATAGATATGAACAGTTCGACATTTATATATTTATATATATATATATATATATATATATATATATATATATATATATATATATATATATATATATATAATGATTTATTTAAAAATATGATTCCAACTCGCGACATAAATACTAAGGAACATTGGATTATTTACCTAACCAGTTCCTTCCTATTTTCTATATTTTCACATAATATATATATATATATATATATATATATATATATATATATATATATATATATATATATATATATATATATATAGTAGTCGTGGGTACGACGTATGAGGGTCAAGCAGATCAGTTCCCAGGAAACCGACAGCCCGACAACAGCACATGAGATTTGATTATAGTGGTGAAGGTTTCGTGCAGGACCAGCCACACTTTTTGAAGGGCCGAATTCAGAGACATGGTGCACTGAGTGCCACCAGGTTCCCACACAACCCTCTGCAGGTTTTGAATTCAGAATTGTCCTTCTCCTAGACCAGTTGCCATCAAAGGCTATAGAACCTAGTCTGTCCTGCTATGTACCCATAGCTGGAGGGAGAAGAAGAGGATTCACACATTTCCCAAGGCTATTAGCACGTAACTGAATGTAATGTATTCGACTGGAATTCGAACTCGGCTGTGCGATTCCTCAATCAATATATATATAATATATATATATATATATATATATATATATATATATATATATATATATATATATATATGTGTGTGTGTGTATATATTCCTCCCGACAGATAAAGATAAGTAATATCAATCTTTTTTCACGTTGTAAACGCTAATGTCAGACTTGAAAAAGTAATTTATATTTTTATCAAAATTTTATTTTTCTGAGTCAGAATCATTCATTTTTGAAAACCGTTTTTTCTCTCCGTATTTAAAATTTACCTCCTACGAGACAAATCTAAAACGGTCAGCATGAATTACATTACCATTAAAATCTGCCCGGATATAGAAAAAGCGTGACGAAAAATTACAGAATTCTGACAATAAAAATAGTAAACTAATCAAAATTATGTTATATTCTGGAATTCTTGGAATGTATATTGGATGCGTAATATTTTGCTGGCTATATTTCGGTAAAAAATATTTCCATGTATGATTTTTTTTTGTATACTATGCACAAGTCGATATGTACACTCAATTTTGTAAACGTATGCATATTTAACGGACATGTATGTTGCATTTGTTGTTGGTGTTTATTTTAAATAAATTTAATAAATAAATTAATATATGCAAAAGAATAAGCATAGGAAGAGAAAGAAGAAATAATTAGTTAATTAAAATAATAATAATTTATAGCATTGCTTGATAAGTGGTGTATCTATGGTATGACAAGTAGGGCACTTACGAAGGGCGCAATTTGGAGATGAGAGCCACTACGCCATTAAATACTGAACAAATCATGTGTATTCTAATATTCATTAATTAAGAATTAAGCACGAATTGACCTCGTAATATTCGACAGCGAAGTCAACAAAAACTGACAGCATCGAATGTGGCCAGAGACAGTTTTGTTGACTTAGATATTGTGCAATCCTGATTTGCATATTTGCATTAGTGAAAGCAAGAAAGATGTCGTTTCAGTCCTGATTGGCTTCTTCCTTAGTTCTTTGCTTTAACCTGTCGTCGCTGAACTCCCAGTTCAAAACATTATTAAAATATTTTATATACATTTATTGTTATTACACTTTCATAATTTCCCCAAGAATAATGTAAAAATTTATTTGAAATGTGATGGAGTATTTTATTGAAAAAAAACAGCAGACTTTGCCCTCTCGCTATCTCTTCGAAGAGTAAGATATATTCACTGCATGAATTCTTTGAAACAATAATTTTAAATGAACATTTCATTCATAAATAGGCTTATTATATTTAAGGAAGGTTTTACAAATAGGTTCCAACTTGTTGAAGGACAATTAAAATGAAAATTTCAAACACTTTCTCTGCACTATATAAGACGCTATTCCTAAACAGAACTTTTTTTTTTGTATGAAAACAAAACATCGTAAGTGACTATAACAAACCTGACTGGAATTGGAACTCGGCACCCCGATTGTCACCCCTGAGTCATTATTCATTACACTGCGCCCACATTGAAGCACCTGGTTTTCCCAAGTGGTCACCCATCTAGATGTTGCTTAACTTCAGTTCAGTATGTGAACCCGTGTTTTAAAGTGATATGGCTGTATTCCGCGATAAATGTGTGCCATAATTTCGTAAAAGATTAAGTTCATGGGTTGCTATTATATTTTAAAAATTTAAATTACTTTCAGTTTAATTATGTAAGATAAAAGACAGTTTCCTTAATGAAATACTATCAAGTATGTTATATATTACTGAATCTGTCTCGTATTTTTGAACTAGTGGTCTACTTTGCAGTTTGGTAGGGTGTGAGATGTTTAGATAAGGGGTGACATTTTAGGCCCTTGATATGGACAATTAGTTTCCATAAATAGGATTCTGTGCGGGACTGATATGAGATTTTAATAACAAACTATCAATCTCTTGAAAAATAAGAAATAAGGTAGATGCCGCGTTGAAACTGTCATCACGAATTGATCAACAATAATTTGTAATTGTTGCTGGCGGAAGGAACCCATTCAGAATTTCGATATGTTATAAATTTATGGAGATTTCTTTGCGATAAACTTGTCATTAAGTAAATGGTAAAAAAGATAAGATCAGAAATACAACACAAATCAAAAAATACCTTCATAAAAAAAGAAGTCATGTCTTTATATCTCGTAAAATGGATGAAAATCTAGCGGTTGTTTAAATATGGTGAATTTGGAAAATGTCTACTTTGATATGTTTCGCCGGTGATCGGGCGTCATCAGAAAAAATATAATTTCTTTTTTCAAGAACAAATTATACATTTCATTCACATTCATAAGGTGCAGCATGGTGGTATTGCTTCCCCAAGCCGAAATGTCCAGGAAGTCTGTTCTGGAGATTCGAACACGGGTCTCTGTCTGCGAAAGCAAACGTTGTAGTCACGCTGCTTATTAATAAACAGATTTTTGCCGCTTGGTGTTGACCTTAGTATTCACGTTTATATTTACATATACCCTATATCTGATATTGAGCATTAATTTTACCCATAAATATAGAACATCTTAAAACTGTGTATTTATCAAATATAATATATATATATATATATATATATATATATATATATATATATATATATATATGTGTGTGTGTGTGTGTGTGTGTGTGTGTGTGCGTGTATACCTGTACACACACACACACATATATATACATATTTTACACACACACACACACACACACACACACACATAATGGGAGAGTCCATTATATATATATATATATATATATATATATATATATATATATATATATATATATATAATGGACTCTCCCTTTGGTTTCGATATATGAGGATCGGAGAGATTAATTGTTTCAGTCATGAAATTCTATGCGATAATCTTAAGTGGCACTTAAGACCTGCTAGTGATTTACAAAAGAGGCC